AGGCCACACCCCTCAGGCCTGCTGAAAGTCAGACTTGCCCAGGGCCCACCCCTCAGGCCTGCTGAAAGTCAGACTTGCCCAGGCCACACCCCTCACTGCCAGCAAGTCGATTCTGACTCTGTGATCCTAAAGGCCAGGGTACGAATGTCCCGTGGGTTTCCAAGACTGCAAATGTTTAAGGTAGCAGAAAGCCTCCTCTTCCTCTCGTGGAGTGACTGGTGGTTGCGAACTGCTTAGCTTGTGGTGTGCAGGCCAAGGTGTAACCACTCTGGCACGAGGGCTCCTGCTCCCACCCCTGCCCAACTAAATCAGAATTTTTGGTGGAGCCAAGACAACAGCATATTTTTAAAATCTCCCAGGTCTATCTTGTGTGCAGCCAGGGCTGAGAATCATTTGTCCAAGGATTTGAATTATCACAGGAATGGTCAAAAACATAGCCAGATATCTCCCACCAATTTAACTGGCGGTGCCCACCCAACCTTTGCCTCAGAAATTCTAAAGAGTATTATTAATAAGAGAAGCAATAACTAGAATTACTAAGTGAACTGCTGATTCTATGCCAGGCACTTGAATACAACATCTGGAGATACATGATCAAAAAGCATTTGGTTGGAGTTCCATTTTACAGCTGAGTACACTTGAGGCTCAGAAAATGCAAGTGGCGTGGCCACAGTCACACAACTGAAAATGACGTTGCTGGATCTCACACCCAGGTCTTCCTTTCTGCCTCCAGAGTTATGGTTTCCCCCACTACAGATGAGCAAATTGCCTTCTTCATGCTCCTTTATTACATAAAAATGATGTGCTGAAAACACTTCTGGTACCCAAACATTAGTAAATATCTCATAGCTGTCCCATCTCTCCTGCACATGCTGCACACGCACACATACATGTATGCTACCCACACAAGCACTTATCTACATAAATGTGTGTACACATGTGTATATGTGTATATAGATGTACAGAGATCACATACACAGGTGTCTTCTTCCTGTGCCCACCTAGCCAAGCAAAGGGCACTCTTGGGTGGGTGCATGCCTGGCTAGAGCAGTGCAGCCACGCCATACCTTCATGAGCGTCTCCGTTTCGCTTTTCTTGCATTGCAGCTTCAAAGTTGAGCTGGAGAATCTTGTTTAGAGTGGTGATCCAGTCTTCCATTTCCACTTCACTGTCTGCAGCCAAAAGATAGCTACTCTTGTCCTGCATCTTAAGCTCAAAAGCAAAACGCCGGACTTTGTTGTTCTGAAAGCAGACAATGGTAGAGAGAGGTATTTTTAAAGAACTGGACGAGGCTTCTGTAATTGCTCTCTGTCATTTGCTGGTAGATGCTACCTCACTAGTGTATAAGCAACCCTGAAGGCAACTGGTTAAGTGCTTCACTGCTAACCAAAGACTGGTAGTTCAGACCACCCCAGCCACTCAGCAGGAAAATACACACAGCAAATATACAGCAGTTCACCGACTTCCACACCTACAGGCTAGTGACACTGATAACATCCCTTGAAGTGTGTGTGCAACCTTCTGAAACTATAACTATTACCTTCTTCTTATGATCAGTATCCTTATTCTCAAAACCAGTGTCTTGTCCGTAACAACCAAGCCACTACTATCAAGTGGATTCCCAGTCACAGCAGCCCCATGTAAGGTCTTTACAGGAGCAGACAGCCTCATCTCTTTCCCACTGGCACATAATAAGCTTATGAAAAACATCTGTTGAATGACTAAAACTGCATCTAAGATTGGCCTGTTCCTCTTAACGAAACAGAGTAAGACATTACATTTTTAAAAGTAAATCATTACCTATCAATACGTTTGACTTACTGATCTGGAAGTTTCTAATCATCTAGGAATTCCAAAAGGTATTTGAGCCCTATCTTTACCACCTCCCCTCGGTTCTCTGTGATTGTGAAAGTGTCAGGCTAAAAGCACAAAACAACAGTCCACATGCATTAAATGGTGACAGACGGACATACGCTAGACTGGGGTTTCTCGACCATGGCACTATTAACATTTGGGGCCAGTAATTCTTTGCTGTGGGCTCTGTTCTGGGTCTTCTATGATGATTAGTAACAGTATCTACTAATAATGTTAATAATGCATTATCTACCAGTGGTAACGATTAGAGCATTATCTACTAATGAATATTAGCTATTAAGAATGCTAATAATGCATTATCTACTAATGAGCATTATCAAACCCCAAGATAAGAAGCCTTGGTGGCATAGTGGTTTATGTGCTGGGCTGCTCACCGCAAAGTCAGTTCGAAACCACCAGCTGCTCTGAGGGAGAAAGATGAGGCTCTCTACTCTCATAAAGAGTCAGTCTTGGAAACCCACAAGGGCACTTCTGCCCCGCCCTCTACGGTTGCTATGAGTCGGAGTTCACTCAATGGCAGTGAGTTCGGTTTTGGAAACACGAGTTGCCAGTAGCACCCCCTCCCCAGGTGGGACAACCGCAATGGTTCCATGACATCACCAAAAGCCCCCCACCCAAACCAAACCCACTACCACTACGTGGATTCCAATGCACAGCAGCCCTGTCAGACCGAACAGAACTGTGCCTTAGCGTTTCCAAGACTGTAAATCTAGCAGACAGCTTCATCTCTTTCCTGAAGGAAGGGGGTTGGAATCAGTGACCTTGTGGTTCGCAGCTGAACACTTCATCCATACTGCCACCAGGGGTGTTAAATGTCCCCAAGGGGGCAAATTGCCCCTGGTTGAGAATTATTCCAGTGCAAAGAAGTTCCTCTCTGAGAAAGACGGCACGGAATTCCCTGTATGTTCACACTAAGAGCCGTGCAATCACAAACTCCCAGCAACCTGCTGGCTAGTCCTCCCCAAGTCCACACTGCAGCTCTACGCAGTTGTCCACAGCCCCTAGGGATGCCCTCGGCATATGTCTCAGACACCAGCAGACCTTTCCAGACTGCAGCGCAGTTCTTAGAAATACAGAGGCGAGAACTGCTCTTGGCCACGCTGCGCAAACACAGTGCCCAGCCTGTCTCTGTGGGCTCCGCAAATTGCCATCTTAGAAACCACTGAAATTCAGTGGGAAGCACAAATCTAAGAGTCAAAAGGCTGGAAATGAAATTAATCTTCCCCCCACCTAACTCCTTACAGACTCCTGATTCTTTATAAAGAGAAAGGCCAACAGTGGGGAAAGAACACTCAACCTTGATACCGAGCTATCTCTCTGAGCCTCAGCGTCTTCATCTGCAAAAGAAGTGCAACACCTTTCAAAGGTTTGAAAATACTTGCAGGGTTTAAGATTCTAAATTCTATTTCTTTCAAGTCTGTGCTAAGACATCTTCCTTTAGGCAGGTCCCCAGGCTGACAGTATTAGTAATAAGCTGATTTCTTTTACAATGTCAAAAAGAAATAGGAAACACTTAAATTACATAGTTTGGCACACAATTTATAACACATATGGATGAAAAACGGGATGATTTTAAGCTTAAAGCTGAAGGAAAAGCTTCTCTCTGGAAGCTAGAACCTTACATTTTGAACCACACCCCAGGACTAGATGAGAGTCCTGTTAACTACAGGGCTTCAGTCGACATAAACACGTGCATGCCATGCCAAGCACCTGCATGGAATAAAACTCTCCTAGATAACAGAAAACATTTGTTCCTACTTGAAACGCGAAGTTGCCAAATACCATATTTACTTTTGCCTCCATTTTTTTTTGTGTTGTTTAAATCAATGACAGGAAATTCAACCAAAAAAGGAACTTTACATATTTTCTTCATCTAAGAATATAATTGGAACTTGGATTTGAGAATGTCACAGATGTTATGGACTATCACAGGTCACCCTGGTATTTCTGTCTTTATATTCTTGGTAAACATACTTTGATATAACTCAGTTATCCACAATGGCAGCTCCCAGCCTAGGGTGGAAGCTGCTGGCACGCGCTGAAGAGGAAGTTGTGGACTAGTAGCAGACATATGGGCTAGTATCAGACTTGTGGACGTGATCTGGAATGGGCTGGGGTATTTTCTCAGTACGTAATTACTCTTTGAAATAAAGCACTCTCTTTTAAAAAAAATTTAATCCTTTTATTTGGGGCTTGTACAACTCCTGTCACAATCCATACATACATCCATTGTGCCAAGAACATTTGCACACCTGTTGCCAGCATCATTCTCAAAACATTTGCCTTCTACTTGAGCCCCTGGCATCAGCTCATTTTTTCCCCTCCCTCCCCACCACCCTTCCCTCATGAACCCTTAATAATTTATAAATTATTATTTTGTCATATCTTACACTGTCTGAAGTCACCCTTCACCCACCCCTCCGTTGTCCATGCCCCAGGGAGGAGGCTATATGCAGATCCTTGTAATTGTTTCCCCCCTAAAGCTCTCTCTTATACATATGCGAGTGTCTTTGGATTTGTCAGCCTGGACTAACACACACTTAACTACTGGTGAACAATTTCTGGGAGACAAAAAACCAAACAAAAACCAGTGTCAAAATTCTTTGGCATCTCCATTAAGATCCACTTTAAAGCTCTTTTGATAATTAAAACTAAATAAATAAGTGAGGGGAAGTACACTTGTATTGAGCCCCTGGAGGATCCCTCTGCCCATGGACCGGGATGCAACACGCATTGCAAAGTGGAGGGTTGCAGATGCGGCTGGGTTAAAATTTAGCATTTGATCTTCCTTGTGATCCATTTAAATTTGTCCTAGTCTTTAGTATTCTCTGCTTTCTTTTTGATTGGGGTTTTTATGTTTTACTTTATTATTCTTGTTAGGGTTGTTTGTTTTTTTTTGGTTGTTGTTTTCCAGCGTTTTTCTGTATATGAAATCCAGGAGAGGATAACTCTACAGAGACAGGAACCAGGGGTCCCTTGGGGGTATGGCAGGGGTGGCTGGGGAAAAATAGGGAGCCAATACCCAGGACTACAACAAGAATGAAGAAAATGCTCTAAGCTGATGGCAGTGATGACCGGACTACTCTTCCTTGGTGTGACTGCTGAACTACTGAGTTGTATGATAATGTGAATTATATCCCAATAAATCTGACAGGCGTGGGGGGGGGGGTCTTTGGAGCACAGTCTGTTTTCCTCTGAAACAAGGACCACCACGAATCCAATAAAACCAGTTGCTGAGTGGACGCTGACTCCTGGTCAGTTGATTCTGACACCCAGTCCCTTGCTTGCTCAGTTGTCACAGAGGGCCCTTCTCTGAAAAGCTCCCTCTAGTGAAGACACCAGGAAGCAATGGAAGAGCAACGGCCCAGAGAAAAGGGAGCCTCTCTGACCATGCGGGTCATTCACAGAGGCTCACCTGTCCACGCACCTGACCACACCAGGCTTGCTACCAGCTGGCTCGTACCTCGCTCTTCAACATGAACAAATGGCCAAGAATCCATAAACTTTTGAGAAAGCCTCCACCCAGAATTGGAGAGGCCATTGTTCTTTCCCCATAAAACATGCCCAAGTATATAACGTACACTCACATACTTGACACAGAAGACTAACGTGCTAGGAGATTGTGAGGAGGTGTATAAAGCACACATTATCTGTGTAAAAATACAGTAACAATGTGGGGAGGCCGCTAGAGGAAATAGCAGAACTAAAAAAAAAGTTACTTTACCCCAAGTTTATGTTACTTTCCAAGAAAGAGCTCTTGGAAATGATATAATAGCAGATTTTAGAAATTCAGCAGCAGGATGAGAAGATGCTGAAGAAATTTCTTAGGCCAAGTAGGACAAAAAGAAAAAGAGATGGCTTCTAAAGAATATTGGGGAAAAGCCTAAGAAATCAGATACCTAACTAACAGAAGTTCTATAAAACAAGCAGGGAGAAACAGAAGGGTGAAAATTATCAAATGCAAAATATAAGAAAATTCCCCAGTCTCCAGGACAAGGATTCCCCCAGAGTTTTCAGCACATAAGAAAGTCAAACTGAGAAAAAAAATTCATTGCATCACAAAATTTTGCATATTTTCTATTTGCATGTTATACCTTAACCAAAAGGAGTTCATAAAAAAAAGAAGAAGAAGAAGCAAGAAAAGAAGTCAGAACATTCAACCCTAAAATTCTAGACACTAAAGATACAAAAAATCCTGAGTTTCCAGAGAGGGAAAAGAAAATAGCAAAGACCAGGGAACAGAGAGGCATAAAACTCCTCAAAGCAATTCTGGTACCAGAAGCTCATGAAGTGCCCTCAAAATCCTAAAGTAAGAAAATCTCACCTGGATTTCTACACCCAGTCAAGCAATCGATGAAGTAAAGACACAAGAAGAAAGATACTTGGCAGGTATGCTAGGTCTCAACCATCCTGTGTAATTTTTCTGGAAGATATTGGAAGATGTGCTCGTCCAAGACAAGGAAGTAAACCAAAGAAGAAGGCACGGGGTTCTGGAAACAAGGAATCCCACACAGGGAGGAAGGCAGCAGGAATTTCCAGGGTGGTGGGTGTACAGAGGCTGAGACAGTTAGTGATTATGCCCTGGGCCGCTAACCTACCAAGGCCAGCAGTTCAAAACCCCCAGCTGCTCCACAGGAGAAAGTACTCTCATAGAGTTATAGTCTCAGAAGCCCAGGGACCTTTCTATCCTGTGCTGTGGGGGTCGCTTATGAGCTGGAATCCACTCCCTGGCAGTGAGTTTTGGGGGGTTTGGGGAGGAGAGAAGAACAAGGGAGACAGAGCTAAAATCCGCATTGACCCTTGGAAGAAGTTGTTAAATAATGTGCAGAATAATGAACCAAGCGAATACTTTCATCCTCTAGCAGCAAGGAGGCCAATCCCAGAAAGAATCGTGGGCATGGAGGCACAGGGTTTTCCCCGGGTGGCGGGGGGTGCCTGAGGTGGGTGGGGGTGATGCAGGCAGAGCCTGTTTAGTGCTGCCTTTTAGCACGGTTTGACAGTTTAAACTAGATGCATGAATGACTTCACTGAAAACACAAATTTTAGGTATACATGCCAATGCACGAACAAGCAAACTGGAGGTCCAAGCAGACAGCTGGGTCCCTGACTGTAATGATGGCGCCTTCAACAACACCACCTTCTTATAAACCCGAGCTTCGGGCCAGTGACACCCGCCAGCATTGAGTCATTTTTCAGGGCAAAGGCACCGATAATGGTGACTGTATCTATTGTGGGGAGTTGTCAAGGAGATTGTTCATTAACCACACAGTGCCCTCTTCACGAGGGCTCCGAAGATAAATGCCTGAATGATCTTCATTCCAGAAAACTTGGGCTGGTCTTGACTAATTGGATTGTCCCTAACTTCTGTGCCCTGTGAACTGTGAAACTGAACAGGTCGCCCAGTCAGGGCACAGACAGCCCAATTTGTAGTCTACCCCTAGCACGTGTTAGGTCTTCAAAGCCATGTGGGTTAGGTTATTTTAGCTCAATTCTACTTTGTTTGCCCGATCTCCCTACCCCTTGCTCATCTTCTTCCACTCCCACGTTCAGGTTTTGTGGTTCTCACAGAGTAAGGGTATTCCAGGCTATATGTAGGCTATGTAAGTATATCTCAGAGATGTGCAGGATCAGTCCCAGACCATCACAATAAAGCAGATATCACCATAAATCAAGTCACAGGAATAGGTTGGTTTTCTGATCGCTATAAGAGCTACACTATAAGGAGACCTGGTGGTGTAGTGGTTACACAAGAGCTACACTATAAGGAGACCTGGTAGTATAGTGGTTACACGTTGGGCTGTGATCCACATGGTCTGCAGTTCAAAACCAGCAGCAGCTCCATGGAAGAAAGCCTGGGTTTTCTACTCCCATAAATAATTACTGTCTCAGATACCCTCAGCACTGCTCGATGGCAGTGAGTTTTATACAGTAGAGCTAGTAGTCTATCAAGGGAGCACGAGGGGTAGTCGCTAGGCCAGTGGTTCAAACCCACCAGCTGCTCTGTGGCAGTAAGATGAGGCAAAGATCTGTTTCTGCAAAGATCTACAGCCTCCGAAACACCACGGAGCAGCCCCACTGTTTCAGTGGGTCTCTGAGTCAGAACTGACTCAATGGCAGTGGCTCTGTTCTGTGGCTTATTAAGGGTACAAAAGCATTATGAAAAAAGCTTGAACTCCTGTGAGGGTGACCAATATGTGACCCAGCGACATGACGTGAGCACATGCTGCGTGAAAAGTACAGCCAACAGACTGGCTCCCAGCACAGGGTGCCACGGACCTTCCCTTTGTGAAAATCACAAGATCCACAGGGCATAATACATCGGAGAACCACCAATGAGGTCTGCCTGCACACCAGGAGGTGACATGTCATGCCAGGCGGTGTTCTGAGAGCTGAGGTGGCACAAACAGTGCGCGACTATCAGTCCCCACGTCAGCGGTCTGAACCTAACTAGAGGGACCTTGGAAGAAAGGTCTGGAAACCTGCTTCCAAAAGGTCCCAGCTTTGCAAACCCCACGGGGCATTATTCTACCTCTGCAAACAGGAGGCTGCCATGAGATAGAATCAGCTCCATGCAGCCAACAACTCAACATGCCATGTTCAAGCCTCTTTCATAAGCTACTGCCTTACATCTCCCTGGAGCACACAGGGAAGTGGACGGATGGATGAGACCAGACACTTGCAATCTAAAAGGTATGGCCTGCACAGGGTGAGCCTCCGCTGAACTCCATCGGACAACTGACCAGGGATGTGGATAGCTGGGCCTTTATACACAGTGCATTGGAAAGTGGATGAATGCAGATATAGTTAGGTTAAAATGTATCATATTATCATGTCTATTCCCTTTTCACTCTTTTTTTTCTTCATTTGTTCTAGTTTCTATTATCTTCTGCTTTCACGTAGAGGGAGGTTTTTGTAGGCTTTATTTTGTTTTCATCATTGAGGTTTTTTTGTTAGGGGGATGATTTTTTTTTATATGAAATCAGGACAGGTAAATCTACAGAGACAGTCCACAGATGAATAGTTCCTTAAGGTTCAGGCAGGGGAGGCTGGGAGTGGTGGTGAACTAATAATGATAATACGTACAAGAATGAAGAACATGCTCTAAAGTTGATTGTGGTGATGTCTGAAGACTCTTTCAAACATATTTAAATCAGTGAATTACACAGTATGAGAACGACACATCAATAAAACCTTAAAATATCAAATAAAAGGTAAGGAAGGACATCGCGCTGGTGACAGCCTCTCTCCGGGAAAGGGGGAGATGTGTGGACAGGAGTAAGTTGCCAGGACTTTCAACTCATCTAAGTTTTTACAAAAAGGATACACTCATGTGTTACGGTTACAAGAACGAGAAAGTTGAAGAATAACTACAGCACAACAACACAGCGATAAAAATACCTACTACTGACTGACTATGTACCACAGGTTTCCAACTCAGAGGGCCTGCTGCTGCCTTTTCAGAAAAAAAAATTACTTAGTGCACCCCTAGCCATGAAAACTTTGTACCCTAGCCCATAATCCAGGATAAAGAGCCCGACCCTCCCCAGCCCCCTCCCCTGGAAATATAACTGCATACCGTGTGCCAGCACTGTTCTCAGCACTTGCATTAATTAATTCAACCCTTTCAGTAACTGTATCCACTCCAATCATGATGTTCATCTAGCAGAGAAAGAAACTGACCATACAGGGGTAAACTAACATCATATTTAGGAGGGGGACAGTGGCTGCGCAGGGATTTGAACTCAGTTTGGCTCTAATGCTCTTATCCAACACACTTCACTGCCAGTGGTACCCTTGTAGGATGGTAGTGACAAATGTCATCGCTTAGCAAGAGCTTACTAGATGCTAACCACTATTCTTTTCCTTTTCATACACTAACCCAACCAAACCTCTCAAGCACTCTATCAAGGAGATATTAAGTAATATCTTAAGTAATCCGTGCACGGCCACGCGGCTGGAAGACGGCAGAGCGAGGTTTAAGCACACAAATTCCGGCAGCACTCGAGCAATCCTGCTTACCACAGCGTAACTGCGGCTTCTCAGTGATACTGGCCATTTCTCAGATGACGAAAGACAAGCCTTTGCTCATTTTAAAGTGAGATAATGCAGGCCCCACAACTTTGCACCTGATATTGACCTTTCTGAAGAGGTTGCTTCTATCTGCTTATCCATAAAAGGTTCCCCCTGAGGCGACTTACCTGAACCACACCCATGCAGGAATCCAAAAAGATCGATCCTTTCGGCTCTTTGGAGATCTTTTCATCTTTATAAAAGTTCAAATTATAGGATCCGTCACCCAGTTGAATCAGGTGGAAAAAGCGTCTCTTAAAGGACTGAGGGAAAACACACACACCGTTATTCTTTCCAAAATGAAAAGAATCACCATCAACGTACAACTATACGCACAGACAAAAACAGTCTCCGTTCTCTCCGGGTACCTGGCCGGGCGGGCTCGCCAGCACACCTTATAGTCCAACCGCACGCCATTTCTGGGAAGGCCCTCACTTCCCACCGTGGGCCAGTTGCATGAGCCACAGAACATGAGATTTTACATAACTATCCAATTTGGGACGCAGCAGAGAAGAGAAGGATGGAAACTTTCTAAAATCCCCAGGGTCGCTTATTCCCACAGAAGAGAAACTATTTTCTGCCTCAGGATGCTGAATGATTTTCCAGCCTCGGGATTATGCCCGTCAGCACTTCCACGGATTCAATTTTCATCTCCCAAATCCTCCCCACCGCCTGGCCATCGTCGCCCTTCTCCTGTTCATCCTGCCCGTCCTCTGAGCCCACTTCTCAGCGGAGTGACTTTTCTACTACTAGGACTTTTCTTTTCTTTTTTCTTTTTTAACTCTTTCTCTTTACCATCTTCTTCAAATTTAACCCATTTTCTTCAGTCCTCCAATTTGGCCTCACTAGACCTCATCACAGAACCCCTCCAGAGAAGTTCTTGGGTGTAGTTTGGAAACCAGGCTGCGGGGATGCTCTGTGAGGAAGCAGGCTGGCTCTCTGTTGATCTGTCCAGGTAGGAGAGCCCGGGCAGGGACGGCATGCTCGGGGGCTCTTCAAGCCAGTGGTCAGGGGCTAAGGAGGAGAAGGGAGTGCAGGGCTCGGGTCCCAGGGGGGCACTATCCACAGGGAACCCCTTGCCAGGCAGGCCAGGCCATGTGGTTTGGGTCCCGAGCAGCAGCACCCTCGCTCGCTCGGCGGGAGCAGGTGTCTGGCGGCCTCAGTAAGCAGGTCTGCCGACAGGAAGCAAGGTGGCTGCGGCCCCTTACCCGCATGGTCACGCTGATCGCACTGTTCATGTTGCCTTTGTACAGCCACCCGTGCCTGGTGATGCCACCTTTCTGAGAACCGAGGGAGGCCGCGTCCTAGGAGAGAAGGACAAAGCACCGCCATCAACGTCCCCTCGTCACCTCAGGCTACGGGCTGGGACTTTGGTCCCGAGGCCACCACGTTGGGTCAGGTTGCCCTGTCCTCTGACTGAAGCCGCCTACGAGTCACTCCCAGGTCCACTTGGCAGGGAGAGGGACGGTCCGGTCCGATTTCTGCAACGCCGCCTTGGGAAAAGGCAGACTTCTCGAAGTGTTTGATGAACCACAGAAAGTACATGCCGGGCTCGCTCACCCACGTGGTAAGGGCTTGGCTGGTCTGAGGGAAAAATGTTTTCAAATGACACTCCTCTCTCGTTGCGAGGACAAAGCAAATTCCTGGAAAACGTCCCAGAGCTTAGTTCAGGGAAAGGTGAAAAAAGAAAGGAAGGAAATGTGAAGAACTACAGAAAGCGGAGATAACACGATGGGGCAAAAGGAGGAGGGAGTGGGGTAGAGGGCTGCGGTGGGGGAGCGCATGCAGACAGCAATGGAGAAAGGGAGGGAAGGTAGAAGAGCAAAGACAAGGCAGTTACAGAAGCAAGGACGCATGCCTCTTCAGGTTGGGCCCCAAGGTGTGCGAACAGAGGTGAGCTATAACTATGTGGGCAGATGAACTATGTGCACCCACAAATAAGCCATCTGACACCACACCCTCACCTCCACCGCTTCCACAGACCCTACAGTTACTCCCCAGCACTCCGTGGTCCCTTTCAAGTCCTACCTGGTCTCCACTGTAGCAGGTGCCATGAGAACAACCAGACCAAGCCACTCAGCTTACACGTAAGAATGCCTTCTACTCGTCACCTCGCCTCTGTAAGCAATCTCAGAAAGGCCCCAGACAGGCCTTGCTTTGGGGGACCACGTCACTGTTAATGCTGGAGACTTTATTGGTGTTCCTCTCATTCTGGCAATAGTAGAAATAAGCTTCCTGTCTAGGGTTTTACAGCTATCGTATACCTCCATGTCCACTGTTGCCATTGGTCTTCCTGTTGCTATTAACTATCGCCAAGGGCGCAATCTCTAGTCATTAATTTTGCATGACCACTCAGTCTTCCCAGAATTACTTTATCTAGGAGAATTTGCTACCATGCACACTGCTAAAGTGCATGAATTCCATGGTGCGATGGCTCTGCTGACAATTTTAAAAGTGGGTGCTTAACTCATAATGGGGTACCCGATATTGAAATTGAGAAATACATCGATGGGTAGTATTAATGTTTTATTAGATTTCCCTTGCTCAGTAGACCTACCTCAACGCCCTTTATAAAACTTCTCTAGTTATAATCATTTCACTAGCAGCAGGGGCCCTAGTGGCACAGTGGTTATGTGCTTGGCTGATAACCAAAAGGTTGGCAGTTCAAACCCAGTACCAACTCTATATGGGACAGAAAGGGGGTAGCTTCCCTCCATGAAGACTGAGAGCTTTGGAAACTCTCTGGGGCAGGTCTACTCTGAGTCACAACTGCACGTGGTGTGTTCGGATTCGGGGGGCTTGTGATCCAGGTAAGAGCGTCTGTCCCGGAGCCCTCACTCAGAGCGAGCACTGAAGAAACCTCGGCCATGAAAAATCCACGGCTGCCTGTTTATGCCAAGATATCCTGCTGAAAAACAACCTAAATTTAAGGTTGAAGTAATCTTGATCTATTTTAACAATGTAGCCACATCTGATCCAAGTCTTTGAAATTGTTCTCAGAACAAATAAACAGAACCAAATGAACATGAAATGCTAAGCAGTAAAGTTGAAACATGGACTGTATTTCAATCAATCAAACAACACTTAAAAATAAAAAAACTCTTCACTTGTTTTAAAAAACATTCCAGTTCCTGTCTCAGCTAAAGGTCAGCACGTTTGCATTTATCTTCTAAAGCCTATAAATTATTACTTTTAATCCAAAGGGGAAAGATGAATAATAGTAAACAATCACCACACCTCATCTTTGTCGACTTCCTCATCAACTTCATAGACGTGAGCTGGAAGCTTATCCAACTTGGCCGCTTTGCTGTAAAAAGAAGAAAGAAACCACGTATTATAACTACTTACACGGTGAAGATGCTTTCCTCCGTTCATCAGAGGAACTGGCATTTAATAAACCCAAAGTTGACCCCCCTAGACAAAGAGTGAAAACACTCTACAGCAGCGGTTCTCAACCTGTGGGTCCCGACCCCTTTTGGGGGGGGTGGTGGTGTCAAATGACCCTTTCACAGGGGTCACCCGATTCATAACAGTAGCAAAATTACAATTATGAAGTAGGAACGAACATAATTGTATGGTTGGGGGTCACCACACATGAGGACTGTACAAGAGGGTCGCAGCATTAGGAAGGCTGAGAATCACTGCGGCACATCCCATTGCTTTCCAAGGTGGCTGTGCCTGGACCTAGAACCTTGAGTCGGAGAGCTCCAATGAGCTCTGCGGAAAAGACAGCAAAGCTCCCTGGGAGTTAACCATGGGCCAAGTAAGTTGTGGGACCCAGGGTCTAAGTGACACTGGCAGGACAAAAGCAGCAGGACCGTCATAGTCACAACAGCAGCCAGCGTTTATGTCGTTCTCAACCTGTGGGTCGTGACCCCTTTGGGGGTCGAATGACACTCACACAGGGGTCGCCCGATTCTTAACAGTAGCAAAATGACAGGTATGAAGTAGCAATGAAAATAATTTTACGGTTGGGGGGGTCACCACCACACAAGGAACTGTATGAAAGGGCTGCCGCACGAGGAAGGTTGAGAACCACTGTATTAAACAGTTATGCTGTGGGAGGCACTGTGATGTGTACTTTACATGTGCTATCGTACTTGATCCTCTGGTGGCTGCGGCTACAACTGAGACCATTTAGAACATGAGGAAAGAAGTATACAGAGATCCAGAGAGCAAGAGGTTGGACAGAGTCTGCAAAGTTAACCATTGTTGCAAGCCTCCCTCTCTGGCCCACCACACACTCAGCCCAGTGTATCTCTCAACCAAGGCTACCTCTCAGCCATGAGAGTCCTACAAACAGGACGATCAATGAAGATGGCTCCTTCCAGCCAAATGGGAAGAATTTGGAAATCCTCCACTGAGTGCTGAGTAGATACAGAACAAAAGAGCTAACCATCTGGAGACGAGGAAGCTAGGAGGGAGTATTTTCTACGGAGGTGTCAAAGAAGGCACGTGGGAGGCTGGCTGACCACTCTCAAGGAGGGCGGAACCACGGGCACAAGCAGCGAGGTCCACTGAGGCGCAACCAACACAAAGGAAAACAGGTTAATTGGATCTCCAGTAAAACTGTCATTAGTGGTGTCTCCTTTTTTAATCATTATATGCCTGCTTTCAAACCTCATAACCAATTATACTTAAGTTTTCTAACTTTACCATTTAAGGACGTGCAATTTTATCAAGAGAGCCTCTCCAGGTGAGACCTACCTCTGGTTCACTTGAATCACCACTAACTGATCCAGACATGCTTGCTTTTGGTATATTCTTGAATGACTCAATCTGTCATTCAAGGGGCAAAGGGATTCGCCTGGGGAAACATCTGCGCCTTGATTTCCTTCTTGTTTGTTTGTGTTTTAGATAAAATTTAGTCAGCATAACATGTTTTTTAAAAGTCTCTTCAAAAAAAATTCTTTTTAGGTAACACAGATATCTCACCACAGTTCCAAACACATTTCATTCCCTCTGCTTCTCTCCCTGAAGAAATGTCACCTATTTGTATTTTATCGGTGGGTACCAAGAAAACCTCGATGTATTGTCACCATCTGCTAATGACAGAACACAAGGTCTGATTCCTATAACCAGGAACCCTGTAAACAACAGCAATCCATCGATAGCAAAGCGCCTGGAAATATCTCCTCTAGTTAGACTGCATACGAAGAAGTCACAGACCACCCTACACATTTCAGTACAGAGGATTCTCTGCGTTCAGATGCCCGTGTTGGAAGGTCTGACATTTACTCACTTTGGAAGCTGCCGAAACTCTCCTGAGTAATCTTCATATTTATAATTCACAAGATGCCAGTCAGAGTTATACGTTTTGATGCACTATTAGGGTGGAGAGAGAAAATAAAAAAGAAGGATAAGTGAAAAAAAAAGAAAGAAAATGATTGACACGGTGGCTTTGACAATGGGATTTGAACACAGCAATGATCGTTAGGACGGCATTGGCCAGACGGGGTCTCATCCGGTGCCACCGAGTCCGCGGCATACAACAACAAATACAAATGGGGATGGGGGAGAAATGTGAAACAGAATATTCATCTGCTTCTGTAGTGGATTACACACTGGCCTGCTGAACACAAGGTTGGCAGTTCAAAACCACCAGCTGCTCCCCAAGAGACAAACGAAGCTTTCTACTCCTGTAAAGATGTATAGTCTCAGATACACACAGAGGCAGTCCTACTGTGTCCTGCAGGGCCACTATGAGTCAGAATCGGCTCGATGGCAGTGAGTTTGGTTTGGGGGCTTTGGGGGATGACGTCTGGATAATATTAGAGAAGGTTTGTTGAGGCCCATACACACACACATCAGAACAGTTCTCCGCCACAGCCAGCTACTGTCTGACGTTTCAACACCAGACTCTCGTCACGCTTAGACTTTGATCCACTCTAGCATCCTACTTAATCTGAGCTCACTTTTATAGGAAGGCAGACCTCACCTAACGTGGCCCGCATTTACATAGCGATGTACTGTGTCTGGCTTAAAAGCGCTTTGTTCTTCAGTAATCACACAGCCTGGCTAGAACACGAAAGTGAATGGAATTTGGGCAGCGAAAGACACTTTCATGGTGTTAATGGGACAGAGGTGCCCAGGTGGTGCAGTGTGAGGAGCACGACGCTGCTCTCTGACAGGCAGGCCTGCGGCTTAAACAGCCCAGCCTCTCCACAGAAGGAAGACTTGGCAGTCTGCTCTCCTCAAGATGCACAGCCTCAGAAACCCTACGGGGCAGTCCTACTCCGGCCCACGGGGTTGCTATAAGTCAGGATCGACTCGCCTGCCCGGGGTCACTAATGTGACAACTGTCAGTATTATCAACCGAACGTCCATTCGGCTCTTTTCTAAAGGGGGCTATTTTACCTTCAGTAGTTATCCTTCTTTTCTTAAGCCCCAGAGTGAGTGAGTGTAAGATGAGGAAAGGTTCACACTCTATTTCACGAGGACACTGTGGCTTTTCCATGAACCGAATAAGGATTCTTATTCACGGCACTCACTAGACAGACGCAGTGAAACAATCTCTACACATAAGCACTTCAATGAGCTAGCACAGGGTCTTTCACTCGTGTATCCAGAAGGATCCTTCCTAAGATCCTTCACCAGCTCTTCAAATACAGGAGTCAAGATCAACAGGTAAATGGGATTCGTCTAATAGCACCTTAGTTTAAATGATTCTCTGTACAGTAAGATCTTGACTATCTACATATATGCAGACTTCAGTGTAACAGGAAAAAATAAATCAATACACATGTAGATAAACATACTTTAAGCCTTACCTAATTTATTTGATATTTCCTGTAATTAATGTCATGAACCGATTTTTTCTGCCTCCCTCACCTTATTGCTTATATTGCCAGCCTTTAGTTCAGAGCACAGACCTCAAGGCCTTCTGATGCTAACTTTCCTCCACCCCCAAACTCTGGAAAATACCAGCAACCACAGCAGGGGCTTATGCTGTGCGAGGCCCTGTGCTAAGAACTTTCCTTACAAGGGTGTGAAGGGGAGGCAGTACATGTTTTTACAGTATAATTCCAAAAGGTGAATAAATAGCAGAGAAGGGTTAAAAACAGGGTCAGATATGGGAACTGATTTCCCTCTACTTATTTCCTACCTAGTTACCGATAGCTACAAACATATTTTCTTTTTGCAAAGGCCCTTTTAATGTTCAGAATCCCTGGAGGCTCAGGGGTTAAGCATTACGCTACTAAGCACCAGGTTGGTGGTTTGAACCCATCAGCTGCTCCTAGGAGGGAAGATGAGGCTGTCTACTTGCATAGAGACGTGTGCCCTTGGACATCCAATGGAGCAGTTCTACTCTGCCCTACAGGGTCACTGCGAGTTGAAATGGACTCAAAGCCAGTGGGTATGGTGATCAGTCTGAATTTTTCCAAGCATTGGCCCTTTAGAGCAGACCCCATCACTTTAGATTACGTTTCCAAACCAATGCAATCTCAGGTTTCTCCATGGCTTGCATTGCCCACACTGCCTTGAGGTCCATTAGCACAGCTCAGGGAGGTCAGATGGTGCATCACACTGCTTCTGTGCCCATGGTGGTTTTCCATCATGCTCTACAACTCACTGCTGTGGTATGGTAAGTTGTAGCTCCAAAGTCTCCTGCAGGCCATTAAAACCATTCTTAGCAATAAAATGTACTTGCTCAATTAAAAAATATAGAAGTATCACCTTGTGGGTCATGAATACATTCATCAATGGAGCAGTAGAGGACCCAGATTTTTAGTAGGCAAAATGGGTAGGAAACACAGCTCTAACAGTTGAACATTTAAAACACACACACACGCACACCCCCAGTTAAACAAGTGAAGTGCCCAGGAGCTTTATTCAGTTAATAAGCTATTGTTGACTAGGGGGCAGGCTCCCATAGAAAGACAGAAGGCTCCTGCCCTGGAGGGATGCAGAGGGTCTAGGAGACCATGGGCTCAAACAGAAATCATTACCCAAAGAACGGGGTCTCCAAAGAGACAGGTTGGGACTGCCCCATTCTAGCATTAACCTTTCAACCCGGGGAGGTGCCACAGTTTTTTGCAGTTACTCTGAACGTTTTTTTAACTTGTTTTTTTTAAGTCATGAGGCCAATCTCCCCTGGTCCAGAGGATGGAGAGGAAGTACTATTTCACTCCACCCAAGAGGGAGAATCCCAGGAGGGTTCAGTTATGCCGGTTCCAGATGCAGGAGGATGAATCAGCTATTGCTCAACCTACAATGAACAAACAACTTAACACAGCATGAGCCTTCAGCCCCCGCCTCCCCAAAAAATCAATTGGGAGAATTGAGTATTAATTCTGATGCCTGGTTTTAAAAGATCAGCATTCCCCTCCCACCTCTCCCTGTACAAGGCAACAGTAGTGAATATTTTCAGCTTCGCAGGTGACAATGTTTCTGGAAAAGAAACCTTAAGCAACATGTGAACAAGTGGACTTGGGGTGCTACACTTTGGTTACAAACAGAGCCTGCAGGCCAGACTGTCCATGCGACAAAATTTGCAATCCTCTGCATTAAAATAAACATTTATGACTACATGAAGTTTTCTTGGGCTATTCGGAATTAATTTCACTAAGATACTGGCAGAGAGGGTAAGGCAGGGAATTATCTTGGAGAAGAATGAGAAAAATACACTCCTCAAACAAAAATTAAGGGCATATAAATCTCTTCAAATATCTCAACAGAAATGAAATATTGTTGGTCTTCAGGTACAAAAGCACAGCTTCATTTGAGTGGGCAAATGCATTGTTGGGAGTATTTATCATTTAAATATCTACTTTAAAATGGTGGTTAAGCATCCATTCATTTTCAATAAACACAATCAAAGCTCCTAATTAGTCACTCTATCTAAAAACACCTGGAGGAAAAACAAATGAATTACAAAAGCAAGCAATCTAAATGCGATAATTTCTTAATTTTCTTCCCCCCTCAACGATATAACTATTATTATCTGCATGTTTGTGTAATCAATTATACAATGATAGGGAATGTAGTCAAACTCTTACTATCATCTTGCTGTTCCTAAGAGCCCTGGTGGCATAACGAGCTATGCATTGGGCTGCTAACCTCAAGGTTGGCAGGTCAAATCGACCAGCTGTGCTGAGGGGAAAAGATGAGGCGTTCTGCTCCTGTAAAGAGTTGTAGTCTCAGAAGCCCACGGGGCAGTTCTGCCTGGTCCTATAGGGTTGCTATGGGGCAAAAGCAACTGAAAGGGCAGTGACTTTTATTTGGTTCTAGTTTTGGCATTTCATATACATTCAAATCATCTTAGGAGCCCTGGTGGGGTAGTGGCTATGCATACGGCTGTTATGCACTAGGTCAGCAGTTAGAAACTACCAGCTGACTTGTCAGGCCAAGTTTCCAACTCTGAAAAAGTCGTGTTCTTCTCCTATTGAAATTTCCATCATAAAAATGTCATTCCTTCTTTAACATTTCCTTAAAAGTAATCATTCACATTGAGGGAAAAGGGGCAGGGGTTAGGGAATACAGAAGCATGCCCATAAAATCACATGGAAATTAATACAGGAGAAAAAAATATACCTCCGTGACAAATAAGCTGTGTGCCTCCTGTTCTGCGTTTGCGGGAACCGTGGAGCAGATGTATCGACCCTGTCGTCTGAGAATCGCAGTCTGTGAACGAAAACACAGGCGACGGCCGGGTTAAGTGAAGATCAAACGAGACCAGGTGCAGCGTGCAGAAAGGGCAGCAGCTGGGCCCTACGCCGAGGTCTTTGCTTGTCACTGCCTCGGGTGCCCCACCCACCTGGCCTCCCAATGTCCAGACACCTTGCAGACTAATGGATTTCCTTTGCTTCTCTTGAATGAAAGGGACAGAGAGCCCTTCAGGGACATTTTCCTGCTCCCCTAGGCCAGGATGCGAGACCCCCTATCCTAGTCCCTAACTGCCCTCCCTTCTCCCCAGGGCGTGGGCAGGTCTTACTGTGTTGCCTTTCACACACAGTCTTTTCACTGCCAAATCCTTATGGCCCAAGAACAGGGACCCAGACTCAGGGTCCTCAGTAAATTATGATATGTTGAGTGAATCGATGAATTGCAAATCTCTAGGCATGAAAATATTTGAGTCAGAAGGCCAGCAGTTCAAACACACATCAAGGTACCTCAGAAGGTCATCGACTTCTGAAAGGTCACAACTTTGAAAAACCTGGGGCGCAATTCTGCTCTGCACACATGGAGTCGCTGCAAGTGGGGACCAACTAGAAGGCCCCCTGACAGAAACAGCAGCATCACAAAGAGGCTGGAGGGCGTCCCAGGAGGGCTCGGAATGCACGTCCATCAAGTCGGTTCTGACTCACAGACATGCCATGCAGCAGAGGAGAACTGTTCCTCGAGGTTTCTGAGACCGTAAATCTTTCAGGAGGCAGACAGCCTCATCTTTCTCCTGTGGAGTGGCTGGCAGGTATGAACTACTAACCTTGCAGTTACCACTGCATCACCATAGAAGGTGCTGTGAATATGTGGAACTCAATATAAGAATCAGGGTAGCAAGTACGTTTGGAGGAGTTATAGTAAGATTCCATGAAAACTAAAACAAACAAACAAAAAAAACCCTGACTGCTATTAAGTTCATTCTAACTCACGGTACAGAGCAGAACTGCCTCTGGGGGTTTCTGGGGTGGTAAATCTTTCCGGAAACCAAAAGCCTCATATTTCTCCCACAAAGTAGCTGGTGGGCTCAAACTGCTGACCTTGCAGTTAGTAGTCCACCAAGTAACCCACATGCTAGATTTTTTTTCTCCCGTGGATCTATAGTTCTTGGATATAAGTAACAGATGACAGTAATTTAAAAACAGCACACATGAAAACACTGTGTGAGCAGAGCCTGTCCTGACACCTCTTCCTGGCTAATGAACTAAGCTGTGATCTCACAGCAGCTGCTGCGGCTCCTTTGCCTCTTCCTCTGCTTGGAGGAAGCCCTGAGTCAGTCCTGTGATCCCTGGCCCTCAGCAAAAGGAGATCACCACAGCTAGTAGTGTGTGCAGAACAATTTTAGCTCCTGTCCAGCTTTCTCCCTGCTGTATCTGCTTCACCAACGTTTATGCTGACCTTACTGTACTATGTATCTCTTTGAATGTAATCTTAATAAACAAATGGGTATCTATGTAGCTGAGAAGCAACAAAGCCCACATGGAAGAAGCACACCAGCCTGTGTGATCACGAGTTGTCAATGAATGAGATCAGGTACCAGGCATCAAAGAACAAAAAGATCATATCATTGTGAATGAGGGGGAGTGCGGAGTAGAGACCCAAAGCCCATCTGTAGGCAACTGGACATCCCCTTACAGAAGGGTTGCAGGGAGGAGACGAGCCAGTCAGGGTGCACTACAGCACCGATAAAACATATAGCTTTCTTCTAGTTCTTAAATGCTTCCTTCCCCCAACTATCGTGATCCCAACTCTACCTTACAAATCCGGTTGGACCAGAGGATGTACACTGGTACAGATAAGAGCTGGAAACACAGGGAATCCAGGACAGATGAACTCCTCAGGACCAATAATGAGAGTAGCGATACCAGAAGAAGGATAAGGGAAAGGTGGGGTGCGAAGGGGGAGCGGATTATAAGGATCTAAATATAACCTCCTCCCTGGGATGGACAAAAGAAAAGTGGGTGAAGGGAGATGTCAGACAGTGTAAGACATGACAAAATAATAATAATTTATAAATTATCAAAGGTTTGTGAGGAAGGGAAGGAGGGGAGGGGAGAGGGAAAAAATGAGGAGCTGATACCAAAGGCTCAAGTAGAAAGCAAATGTTTTGAAAATGATGATGGCAACAAATGTACAAATGTGCTTGCCACAATGGATGGATGGATGGACTATGATAAGAGTTGTACAGTTGTACGAGCCTCCAATGAAATGATCTAAAAAACAAAACAAAAAGAAAGTAATCTTAAATCCTATTTTTAGATTAACTCACAGGCTTTGAGTTGATGGCAACTCATAGCAACCCTATACAGCAGGGTAGAACTGTCCCCTGTGACTTCCAAGACTGTAACTCTTTACAGAAGTAGAAAGCCAAAAAGAAGAAAAAGAAAGGAGCAGAAGATGGAGAAGGAGGAGGAGAAGACAGCCCTGTCTTCCTACCTTGGAATGACTAGTGGTTTTGAACTGCTGACCTTGCAGTTAGCAGCCCAATGCATAACCACTACACTACCAGGTCTCCTCATTTTTAGAATTAGGCTCCCTTATTCTGAAGGAAGGACAAAAAGAAAGGGAAGGAATGAACTATTTTGCAGTGAAGTCTGTTGCCAGTAAATTTTACATCCATTCAGGCTCCAGAGGGACTTTCAAAACTCTGGGTCTTGGTTTTATTAGTTCGTGTCATGAACAGATCAAAAGAGCGGTTGCTGACAAGAGGACTTAACTCAGGGAGATCCCCTGATGTCAGAGGAGACCTATGTTCCCCATGCTTTTCAGGGGCTGAGTCTGTGGAAGTAGCTCCTCCGGGTTTCCTTGGAGACACCTCCAGATAGAACCAAGCAGTCAGCAGTCGAGCACACTAACAGCCAGGGTCTCCATCCTAAACGATGGCTGATCCCCTTCATTTTGCGTCTCTTCTCACGAAAGGCCACCGACCTCTGAACAGAGGCACTCTCTGTGTTACAAACTACCAAGCCTCACGGCAAGTAACTCAAGAGAGAGTGTTACGAGTCAGGTCTGACACCAGCAGAGAGGAAGTGTTAAAGACAGCCCGTATGCTTCAATGAACGACTCATCCGGTAGCATCACACGCAGTGGTTACGTGCTGGGCCGTGCTCCACAAGGCCAGCAGTTCAAAACCACTGTTCCTTTCCAATCCCGTTAACAATTACAGTCTCTGAAACTCACAGGGGCAGTTCTACCCTGTCCTATGAGTTGGCATCGATTCTACAGCAGTTTTTTGTTTGGTTGGTTATGGTGATTTCGTTAGGTCTTTTGGGGGAAGTTTTTGAAGCTAATTATTATACTCTTAAAACATTCAGGTCAAGAAATAAGAGGGTTCAGGGTCATTTCCAGCCTAGTTTCCCAATGTTAGAAAACTGATGACAGCATTTTCACAGTGGACTGGCCAACCCAAGAAGCTGCAACACGGTGGCACCCAAACACCTTTCTGAGATGCGAGCACTGACAGGAACGGGATCTCTTTGATTCTCAGGAATCCAAGTGCCATTCTGCTCTCACTTCTAAAGAAAACGGCTTTGCTCGTTAAAGAGAGACTTACATTTCAACAGACCAGAAACAATAGACCTACTGTTTCTCACCTTAGCATGGGTTTACACTTTAGGCAACGCTGATCAATCCCTAAGCCTGGTTGTGACAGAGCACAGTCTTCCCTGACCAGACAGAGCCTTCCCTCACCACAAGACTTCATGCCAACAAGCAATGCATTTCTCTAACACCAGCCACATCACAGGCTTCTTTAGTACAGATCACGTTTAAGGGGGTTTGAGCGGTGAAACATGGGCGAAGGGAGACAGTGGACAGTGTAAGTTATGAAACAATAATAACTTATGATCTATTAGGGGTCCTTGAGGGTAGGAGGATGGGGGAAGAAGGGAAAAAAGAGGAGCTAATATCAAGGGTTCAAGCAGAAAGAAAATGTTTTGAAAATGATGATGGCAACATATATACAAGTGAGTATGATACAATTAATATATGGATTGCTATAAGAGCTGTAAGAGCTCCCAATAAATTATTTATTTAAAATAAAAAACCCACTGTGTTTTCATGTGCATTTCTTAAATGGCATAGTGTCAATTCTTTCAGATAACCCAGTGATGGTTGCAGTCCCTCACTGTATATGAATGCTGAAGGATGTAGGCTATTTCCCCTCCCATGTGGTCTCTGGGCTGTCTTTGACCAGTCAAATGAAGTGGGCATCCTGTTGTTCCAGCTCCAAACCTGGCCTTTAACAGCAAGGGCAGCTTCCATTTCCTCATTCTTGGAAGCCAGCCACCATGTAAGGTTGTCTACTGCCCCGAGACCACCATGCTGTGGACACATCCAAGTTATCCACAGGAGAGGCCAGAGAGAGAGAGAACGTTGGCCCAGTGGCCGGCCCAGCTAAGGCTGTGATGAACGAACCACCTTGGGCATTCCAGCCTCTGCAGACACCACGTAAACCAGAACCAGTCCACTAAGTCTTGGCCACATTTCAGGACTGTGAAAAATAATAATTTATTGCCTTAAGTAACTAGACTTTTGGGGGAAACAGGGGCCTCCAACACTCAGAAGCAACTTTGCAATTGTGGAAAATATTAAAGACAGACAGACACACATCGGGGCACAGGGGCTCCTCATCCCATGTCAGGACCAAGAGAGTGAGTGTATTTTCCAATGGGGATATATAATGCAGCTTACAGATCTTTCAAAAGGCACACATGTCATACATCAAACATATTACATAGTCAATGGGTAATATCATACATGGGTAACATAATAAACAAGCAAGGAGGGGAGTCCTTATCTTGACCTAGTGATAGTTGACCTCAAACACCCCTGAGCCCTCCCCAGGGGTAGTCATCTCTGATTAGTATCAGCAAGAGATGTCAAAACAGAGTTTGCTACACTTTACAGTGAGTTGACTGAGGAACCTGATGGCTCTGATCTACAGATGCAGAAAGGATTCATCC